TACATCAATGGAAAGCTATTTATTCAGCTTTCAGATGTTGTATAAATCTCAATTTAAAAAAATTGACCCTTATGACCAGTTTGTGGTCCTGGGTCACACATACAAATGAGGACAATAGAAGCAATCAAAAACAACAAAAGAGCAATTATAAGCAAGTGCTATAACAAGCTAACTGAGACTTGTTATAGCACTTGCATATAATTACTCTTTTGAAGGTGATGGTCCTTCATCCAGCAAGAAATGTCTGTTAGACAGGCTGAGATGCGAGCAGCTATCGTCGGATCATCAGGATGGAATGAGAGGTAGAATTGAGCGTCATCAGCATAGCAGTGATATGAAAAGCCATGTTTCTGAATGACAGAACCTAGACTTGGACACCTCGCCTCTCCAAGATAAAAAAAAAATAGTAAATGTTGTTTATCTGAAAGTGTAACAATGCAAACAGGTTTTCTGTAAGGGGTAGGTTTAGGGTTAGGGTTGAGTTAGGGGATAGAAAATATCGTTTGGTCAGTATAAAAGTAATAGAAGTCAAAGGCAAGTTCCCACAATTCTCAGAAACAAACGTGTGTGTGTGTGTGTGTGTGTGTGTGTGTGTGTTTATCTGAACTCGTATCACGTCTTTTTGCAGCACTTGTTTGTGACGCTGCCGTCTTTGAGACAAGAGTTAACCCTTGAACTGCTGGACAAACTCAGACACCCTGAGAATCTCAAAGACTTACACACAGATGATGATGATTTGGAGGTACGTACACACAAATTATTCTAAACTATATGAGCTATTCAGTGACTTACTCATAAAGATAGTCCCTAGTTTATTTCTTGAATTAATCAGTGTTTTGAATGACTCAGTTGATTGAATGATTCAGTGACTCACTCGTTAAGACAGTCGCTTGTTTACTTCTTGAATGAATCAGTGTTTTGAACGAGTCAGTTGATTGAATGATTCAGTGACTCACTCATAAAGACAGTCCATCTGTCTGTCTCTCGTCTCTGTCTCTCTCTCAGGTGATTGTCCCACATTCACTCAGAAGAATTCACTCAATCAACAGACACAACCGGGCCGAGAGAACGAACTCAGACATCAGCTGTAAGACTCTTGTGTGTGTTCATGACAGATACACACTCATTATTTCATTATTATAAAGCTGATGTCTGTGTTTCAGTGGAACAGATTTACACACAGAGACCCGTCGCTGGCAAACGAGAGTCTCCAGAAGGAACGGTTAGTGTTTGTGTGTTTAACTTCTGAGAGGAAACTGCTGAAAATGAGCTGAGCCTGTCAAAACCTTCCTTTGAGGATGTTGTCTAAGAAAAAAATGACCTTTGGCCAAAAGACATATGCATTTAAAATGTATAATTTTCTCTTTCAGGAAACAGAAAAGTTTTGATGACATCTTTTTATTCACAAATGCTTGTCCAGTCTAGAACGTGTTCTTTCCTCTGACTTAAACTAAAGATAACTGGCAATTTAAAAACAAGGGATTTTATGTCCCAACACAACTTCCTGTTTTAACAGGAACTGCATAACCACAGGGAAAAATGCACTTGTCAAACCACTTCATGGGGTCCCTAAATAACTAATTTTCTTCTTTCTGTAGTCATTATCATTAGCTGTGTAGTTGTGTTCATAGGTTTACACACCCCTTGCAGAATGTTAATAATTTGATTTAAAAAAAATAAGAAGGGTTGCATTCATTTTTATCACAAAGCAGATGTTGTAAGATAACACGTGCTGTTATTGATTGGTGTAGTTACGGTCGTCAGGAGGACAGTGGACGAGTCCTCCCATCACTTCCAGAAGAAGGTAAGAGCCGACATCACATTTAATCACTCGTCTGTGACATATGCAGCCCATGTGCTGATGATTTCTCATAATAAACTCTTACAGGGATGAGAGTGTGGACACGGATGACGATTACGACGATGTGGAAATGTACGTTTTTCTCTTCTTCTGAAATCATAAACACATTTACATTTATGCATTTGGCAGATTTACTGTATATTCAAGCTGTGCATTTAATGAGTTGATGCATGAATTGAATCTGTGTGATTCAAAAAACCATCTAAATCACGGCTTTCTCCGTTATTTTTATTATTATTTACATACTATTATAGTATATATTACTATACTTTTATTTTTTATATTTTTAGTTTTCTTTTTAATCTTAGATTTAGTCATTTTGTTATGTATTTTATTCATTTTTATAATTATGTTTTAATTTCCGTTTTAGTTTTATAAATACAAATCTAGATCCTCATAATATATAAAACAGAAATGTATACATTTTTTAATTTTAGTTACATTTTTAGTCATTTCGTTATGTGATTTTGACATTTTTATTAGGTTTATATATATATA